ACCCCCCCCCCCTTCCCCCGTCCGGTTGAACGTGTCTCGGACCCCTTGTCAGCAAATTTCTGGAGGCACCACAGGACGCAGGGTTCCCGGAACGCCGCCCTCAGCGGCGTGTGCGAAGCACAACCTAGATTCAGAAGTGGAACGTAAAATTTCGATATGGTTTTGTAGTCAGATTTGCGAGAAAAACTTCTGCTACCCGTATTTCTCAACTGGAGACGTCAGTGGGAGCTGTAATTTGTATTGCAAGAAGATTGTGCTACCCTTAATTCGTATTAGGGAATTTACGCCCACAAACCTTTTAGTTATTAATATTTTGGTTATAATAGAAAATATTTATTTTTTGGTGACGTCACACTCACAATATAGTTAGCATGCATACGTCATAAGCTAAATTACGTCACTTTTTCCTGGTAAAGCAAACTTTCCCGGCGTGCTTTTTTTTTATTGATAAACAAACACTATTGCTTTGTACATGGATGTCTTGCCTAGCTAGGGCTACAAGAGCCGCATTGTAAATTGCATTGTATAATACTTAAACAAGGTACGTCTGCAACTGAATTATTAGTTTGTTTTTTTTTTTCTTATTTTAATTTTGTTTCCTTCGAAAGTGTACTTTCTGTCACATTATAATTGCACCGTCTACTTAGGCCTGGGCCTAGTCTTATTACGCCTCATCGTCCCCCGCTACACAGTACATCAGTAGGCTAGCCCCCCCCCCCACGCTACAGTACATACGTTTGCTAGGCAACAGGACGTGATTGCACCTTCCTTCCCAGGTGTTCATGTAATATTTGCATATTGTTAGCTAACCAGTTGTGTGTATTCCTTTGTGAAAATGAGTACCGCGGCGTAGTCATTTTCACAGTAATTTAGCTTACACTTATGCATGGAGGGAGCACTTAAAATGTTCAATAATCATTTCACTACCCGACAAACCCCGAACTATTTATAAATAGTTTAATCTTGCTGTACTCCAACATCACTGGCGCATGGTAACAACCACCTGACTGCAGACCATTTGCGGTCACACTTTACTGCCCCCCATGGCAAAAGGGCATAACTGACATTTTTAGCGAAAATGAGTTATATAGCCTAGTGGGGTCAGTACATCATGTTACACATGTTGACACTAAAAAAATTGTAAAAAAGTGTCCCCCTGGCTAGATAGGGACATGGCAATAGGGCATAACTACACAATTTTCAGTAAATTTCCAAGGCAAAAGGGCATAACTGCAAAGTTAATTTATGCTATATACGGTAATCTTGCCTTACTTTGAATGGCAACAGTTTAATACTATGGAAATAAACTATGGGAAAATAGTACATGTTTATTAAAAATAATTAACCATGGCAGAATAACAATTCACATTTTAACTAGAAATAACAGTGACAAAGAGGGACAAGTAAAACGATTATTTAGCAAATAACTATGGCAAAGAGCCACAACTACATCATTTATTTATAGCAAATGACATGACAAAAAGGTATAAATGCACAGTTTACTCGAATCAACTGTGTTAACTGTGTTCACTAAGCAAACAACAACTTACTTTTCAATCTAAATCTATATATATATAATATATTTTCTAAATATTTTATTAGAATATAAAAAAACAATAATATTCGTAATCATTTCCTCTGAAAATTCATGAAAATTCATGCTGTTTCCTCTGTGATTTTATCTTTTGTGTCTTGTTTTAACTTACATTTTAACTGTGAACAAACAAGAAGAATTTCAAACCATGTTCTCACTGTGTTTGACAATAAAACTTGAATTGAATTGAATTGAATTTCATTATTACATGAATTTGGATCATAGAGAAGAATTGCAGCAGTTCTATTTCATATACGCATACGCATGCATCCTTCACGCAGTGACGTAACGCCTATGCGCTGTTGTCCATAAGGCCCCCTACCCACAGGGTCCTCGATCTAGCACCTTGAGCCAAAAAGGCTTTGTTGATACAAAACAACATACTAATGTTAATTCGTTTTCTTGTTTGTATACTTGGTTAGCCTATACATGGGTTTTTTAATCGTTTGTAATTTTAATATTTATTATTTAATGCGTTTCTTTGATATTATTGTACATTTATTTTATAGCTTATACATGACTAACATATTAATTTATATATTTAATGTTATTTTTGAATAATCTGACTCAAAAATTTCGTTGAAAGGAACTAAACTGGGTACTTATATCATGTCTTGAATCAGAAAACCTACGGCAAAAGGGCATAACTGACATTTTGAGCGCAAAAATCAATATTTATAGAAAAAATGTGTGCTACACTGGAAGAGACATTATTTGTCTATTTGAATACATTAACCATGAAATCAAATACTAAAACACATTTAGTTAGTAGTCCAGTCCGAAATGTAGCAATATCAGAGGTTGCATTTTTTTTTTGCTATATTTTTTAAAAATTGGATATGATGTAGAGTAGACATTGATATATCAAAAAAGTATGTGCAATATTTTTTTTTTTCATACGTAAGGGGGGTTGCCAGTAGTTTCAAAATGGCCGCCATTTTTTCCTAAAATTGTCACTAATATTGTAAGTTTATGTTATTAAAATGCAGCATTCAATTGGAAATTAACAACAGTTAACTAAATATTGTACACATTTTTGAGCTATTAAAA